ACATGGAGTTCTTAAAATTGGACTTAGATGTCTAATTAAAATGTAATTGTTATACGAAAATTTATATGTATGTGTGGAGTGTGTAAGTGAGATATGCGCTGTGTTCCAAAATTTACTGCTAGTACTGAAAATCTATAGTACGTGACGTAACCTGTAGATTTTCAGTATTGGTAAATTTTGGAACACAATCATTGATGTAGTGATGTATCAATGACACGTAAATCGTCTGAGTAAGTGCTATTTTCAATATGACTAATTGCCTTTAAAAGAGAGATCCCCTTAAAGCTCTATTTTTTCTCTTTAAAATACATTTTTAAAAACTTCTTTACGATTTTTTTTTACTGAGATACTTGAATTTTTGTAAAATGCGAGAAAATGACAAGTATTCTCGAATTTATGAATGGTAATGTATATACATATGCATTTCGAATATTATTAGATTATATGAGAAAATATTTTGACAAAGGGAAAATAAAATAGAGGAAAGCCCCCTATTATGAGATAGGCGCCTAATATACCGCCTAATATGAGATACCAACATTTCTGCTAAACTAATAAACGCTATCTGTTTGTTCCACCATGAATTTATTGCTCTTGGATTGAAAACTATTTAGTAAAAAATTCATTATTAGATCATACTTGTAGTCATTAAAAAAAGATTTTTAGAATTTGGATGTCTTCAAATTCTTTCATTGAGGTGAGCCTTTAAATTCTGTTTATTATTTAATAAATACAAATATTTGGCAATAAATTCTTCATGTAGTGATAGAATAAAAGTAAAGTCGTAGTAATAGAAACATACGGGATATGTTAAATTATAGAAGTTAGATTTGATGATCGTAAAACCAATCGTAAGACGTAAGAAATTGTAATATGAGGTACCCAGAGTATTTCTAATATGAATAACCCATGTTCCTATGTTATAGTAAAAATCGTTGCTAAAGAGTAAATGTTATTGTACAATAATAAAAAGAACAACTGGAATGAACATCGAGTACCTATTTTTGCGATCTTGATTCCAACCTGAAGACGAGTTCTGAATATAATCTATCGTATGCTCATTTTTCACGCATGCTGGCTGTGTTTGTTTGCGTTTTAAAAACATAAAATAAAGTTTTTTAATTGCAATATTTTGATATATTTTGCGTTTTATTATCGATTTCTCGGGATAACTCATATTAGGAGTACAATTTTTTGAGTTTGTAGTTTGTTCACTTTTTACATTTTTTTATTTAAAAAAAAATGGAATTTGAATTAAATTTTATATAACGTTATCTTATAGCTTATTAAATTCTCTTCAAAACGATTTATCATTTTTTAAAATTCTGCCCATAGACTTCTAGCATTTATCCAAAATGAACTCGGTATCTCATAATAGGGGCCTTTCCTCTAAATAAAAAATAAGTTATTAAATTATAATGTTAGTCATAATAATTTGTCATCTTGACTTACGTCCATACATATGCGTCCATACATTTACATTTACTTACACATATTGATGTTAAATTTTATGTTAAATTAAAATCAAATAAGCGATTTTCATCTTTTTTTTGCTGTGTATTTTAGTTGTTATGAGATTTAAATATTTTAGAAAAAAATTCACATTTTTCATATTCTAAAATAGAATTTCATTTATTATTTTATGTGAAGTATACATTTTGATATATGTTGTATTTTACTCTGATGAAAAAATAAAAATCGGAGCGTAAATCGGATATAATGAGAGAGTAACAAAAGCGTAAACGAAACTTCTAGAAGGTGAAAAACAAAAATTGAAATAATGAAATGTAATCTCAGCTTATTTTGGTCTATCCAAATGATCGTTTTTAATAAAAGAGATTATATTCACGAACTTTTTACAGTAATGATTAACTACTAGTAAAAATTATCTAAGACATACCATCTTCGATTATAGAGAAATCGCGATTAATCATAACAAATTAAATAAAAAAAGGAGATAAGAAAAATGTACTTTCAAATTTCGTTTTTTTTTTAATTGTAAGTAAGATACATGACACTTTTGGCGCAAATCATTTTACACAGTACTTTAATATTATATTAACAACACAAAAAACATAATCTATAGTAAAAAAGAAAGAGTATGATTTGCCATTTATTGGTTAAATTATTAGCTTTTTGATCATCACAACCTTGTATAACAATTAGCCTCGGTATTTCCTACTATAAAACGCGATTTTACATTAAAATTAAAGCAAACAAAAAATTAAATAATTTTTAAATTAATAGGATAACTGTGCTCAAATTTTATATAGATAATTGAATAAGCTATGAAATTTTTATACTTTTGGAAATGTTTTGAGATGTAATACATACATTCTTAAACTATTAGAATTTTCATTAATTTTTTATATAAAATTTTTTAAAATTTTTAATTCTGGTTAATCTTGAAAGTATCGTTAAAAAAAATATCTAAAAAAAAATAATGTAACATTTTTTTCTGTCTTGGTATTCTTGATTAAAAAATAATTTGCAATTTGTTAATATTCCATATTTCATATTTTTTTTGTACAACTTATTATATATTATTTTAATTCTTTTTAGGCTCAAAATTAGCAATACGCCATACGGCAATAATTTTTTAAAATATTTTTTAATAAGTAATATATTCAGCTTATTGTAAAGAATGTGCGATTTTTTTTAGTGTTCATCAAATTTTTAGAATTTTATATTTCACATATTCGAAACTATCTTCTTCTTGTGCTCTCCGATTATTTAGATTCAATTCCAGCGATAAAACAACCTTCTCGCGCGCTTCCGTTTACTAACCTTCGTTCTCATCTCCATCATTCTCTTTTCTACTCTTCCGTTTCCCTCTACCCTTAATATCTCGAGAAGTTCCCAAAACAGCACGATGTCTCTGCGAAAGCATCGTTTACTACGGACATCGCCTACTTCCGGCAATTCTCGTATGACTCCGATAGGGATGTATTTAACGGTGAAATTGTTGGACTCTATGTTGCGAAAACATATAGAAAATATATAGCTTCTACTTTTTAAAAATTGCTCAAGCTATCGTTGAAAGTAACAAAATCATAATTATTCTAGATTTCACTTAAATTATCGAGACTATTAAAATTTTAATTATTATAGTTGTCAAAATTACATAAATTATTCACCATTTTATTTAAATCTTAAAAATTCTAATTTTATAAAATAATTTTCTGTTCTTTTTTTAGAAAAGAATTTGATATATTTTTTATATGTATTTATATTGGATCTAAAAGATTTATACATTTTGTTGAATAAAATCTTACAAAATAATTGAGGAAAACGTACTCCTTTCATTTCATTATTTCTATATAAACTCGTGTTTTGTTTACAAATTTAATTTTACGTTGAAATGCAAAAAGATATAAATACGCGTTACTATTTTTAGAAAATATATATTATAGAATTAATTCAATATATAATAAAAATTATTAATCATTAATTTCCATTTTAAAGAAAATTATATTATTTCCTTATAGTTATTATTATTATTTCATATTACATATATTTATTATTCTATTAGGTGTTGGAATTAATTCGTAGCGTTTTTTAATGAAAGAATGTTATTTATTTCACATGAGCATTAAAAAATACATTAATGAAAGTACTTCCCATCACTTGTAAAACGCTACGAATTAATTCCAACACCTAATATTTCTATCTAATTTAATGACAGTGAAAACATTAAAAAGATTTCAATTTTGAGAAGATTTATTAATTGTATCATTTAAAAGTTTTAGAAATTGTGTGTGTATGGAATACTTTACTGTAAATCCTATTTATATACAAGATCGATAAATAAAAAAATTACAATGTTTAAAAATTTACAATTTTTTGGTTTATTTTAAATAGGAAAAGAACATTTCAATTAGACATTCTTTATTTTCTCTTTACACGCGACAATAAAATTATTTTTTACAAAAATCGAATTTAAAGATGATTAAAGAAAAATATTGTTGAAATATTGTTACAATTATATACAATGTAATTTCTCTAGTCACACTCCTGATCACTGATCGCACCCTCTTGGTTTCCATGCGGTGGTGTACTCAGTGCGAATCGCGCAGCCGCCTGAACACCTCGGGAGAGATTGGCCTCGCGTTGTGATCGCGTGCGAAAAAAGGATAAAAGAAACGGGGGTGGTGGAGGGAGAGAGAAAGAGAAAGAGAGAGAGAGAGAGAGAGAGAAAGGAACAGGTGAGAAAGATTTCGAAGTGTTCGGCGTCTTTGAACGGGGTGCGAGTCGTGATATCTGTGCTGCCGAGCATGATATTGTTATTCGTGACATTGCGTGGGCGTCGCGGCCTCGAGATTCGTACCCTCTAGCCCTATTATTGACTCGGGGGTTGGTTTGGCAGCCATGACAAGGGGTTGCATTCGCCGCGAGATTGCCAGATGGCGCGGCGTGTGCGGTCCACCCTCCCTGGAATGCTCTCGGCGAGGATCCTGCCGACGCTGTCGAGCCCCACGGGTCCATCGACGACGCTGAGGGCAATCGACGGCGACCAGGAAGAACGCGCTCGACGCTGAACGTTGCCGTGAAAGTGTGAGCGCGCGGCCGCGCGCGAACAAACGCCGCGCGTGCAAAGTGATATCGCGCGGGAGCGGAAGCGGTGCGGAAAGTCCATTTCGGAGGGCTGCGTTTATCGTTTAGGACGGACGGTAGGCTCGACGGTTCCGTTACGAGGGCGCGAACAGTATTTCCGGAGGAACTTGAGCGGGGGTCGAGGGGATTGCCGGAAGTCTGGTGTTTGTTGGACCGGAACCAAGTGGGATCGAGCCTGGCGGAGCAAAATGCAAGTCGGTCTTCGGGAGTGCCGTCCACCATTTTGGGTGCGCGGAGGTTATTCTGTATCCCTCGCGGAGGCATCAGGATGCCCGCGATATTCTCTTTCGGAATGATCTCTCTTTTTTCCTCTCATTCTTCCTCATCCTCTCTCTTAATCTCCTTTTCTCTGTTTTGACGTTTTTTGGCGAGGAAAGAGGGCTGGATTGCCCTACTGTCTCGATGCATCGTTGAAAAAGTCCTGGGACGTTCCGGGACGTCATGACCGCCCCGATGCCACGGAACTGGAGCCATTTTTATGTGTTGCATGTCGGGAGGAGCGGCTCTCCCGCTGGAAACTGGGTTACCGCGTCGCTTCCGTTCGAATTTCTCCTCCGCTCGTCGCCCAGAGATAGTTTTATGTGTCGTGGTTAAAAAACGTGCTCCCTGGTTTGTTGAGATATAATTCTATACGCGGTGTCGATGCGGTTGCTTAGTAAAGGAAATTTGTGCAGGCAGAAAAGGCGTGAATTCGGATTTCGGGGGTGAGAAAAAGTGATACGTTGTGATATTAGTCAAGTGACTAACAGTTGTCAAGTATAGAGAAGCGGGGATTTGGACATTAAGGTAACAGATGTTTGTAGATTTCTGCTGGATTCATCACAACATTTTGTGCGGAGACAGAAACGTGGATCTACACACATAAGGAAAGGGAAACGTGTTGAGGGGAGAGTGCGCGGATAGATTTCGTGGATCGTGGTAGTTGTAGGGGAATATCATATGGGAAAAGGAAAAGCGCGGATTAATTAATGAAGAATAAATTATTCTTTTTCTTCTCTTGGCGGACTTCTCGTGGAGTATTATGCGGGCAAAGGAGATTTGTGTGGTGAAGAAATGTTGGCCAGACATTTGAAACTAATTATGTTGAGGGTGGCAATAATTGATCTGGGTTGAATTGGTGAAGTTGTCAAAGAAAATCGTGCAGAGACGCGCATATGTGTGTTGACCGAATTGGACCGAACTTGTCGGGAAAAATTGCGCAGGTGAAATAGACTGGGTCGGTTCACTGAAGGGGGATAAATGTGATCAAATTCAAGAGTGTGCGAAAGCAGTTATGAAGCAGTGCGAACAGATTTTGTGAATCGGTGGACTTGTTGATAAATATTGGGCAAGAAGAGAAGACTAGATTTAGGAAGAGAAATATTGGGAATAAAGATCTTACACGGTGTAATTAATATTTAGACCGAGAGATGCTATACGGAGCAAAAAGGTGTGGATCCATGTATTGAGTGAGGAAATACGTGGTACCTGCGTTCGATGAGAAAATATTTCGCGATTGACTGTTATTTAGGATTTCGAAAGAGAAAAGTACCGCAGCCCTGTGTTCAATATAATCAATATGTAATTAATATGATTAATATCGAGAAAAAAAACGTACGAGTATGCAGGTTGGAGGAAAATGAATCTGTGCTCGGAGAAGAGAAATGGCGCGACGGAGATATTCTTATTCATATTTTCCGAAAAATTTGATGAGCTAATATTCTTTTCAAAGAAAGTGACAGATATCGTTCCGTGATAGGAAAACTGCAGATCCATTAACAAAAATGGGAATATAAAAACTATATGGATCATTTAAAAAATGCCACCTGTATGCTCCAGAAAATTAAAAGTCATCTGAACAAATCCCCGTGAATCTGAAGAAGTATCCTTTATGCAGAAAAGTATTTAGAGCAATTGTGAATTTTGTTTGCTTCAATAGAATTTTCTTTTTCGCTTGAGAAAGAATTCTTCCTAAACAAAATTGTAAATTTTTAACGCCGAGAAAAACTGGAGATTTTGTTGGTATGAAACATGTCTTCTGCATGTCGAAGTAAACCATCGATTTTTACTCCTCTTGAAGATTCGTTCGTCTGTCAAGGAACATCGCGAATTGGCCTTGTTTAAGAAATATCATCATTAATGGAAAGAATTACGTATAAATTCGTGATAATAAAAATTGTAGATATTTATCTATGATTTTAAGTGATGGATCTTTTTAACGATTAGGATGCTGTTAGAAAGAGAAATCTCCTATGAAAAAATGCAGAGAGATTTAGAGAATTCGTGGGAGAAGGACGATTGTTAAAGGATCTGAGTCTCAAAGAGTGATGATCGATGGAGCTTGATGGAAGGAGGATAAATCTGAAGAATTTTGTTCGCATGCGGAAAAGTCGCCAAGTGTATTACTCTTCTAAGAACATGGCACAAAATTAGACTGATAGACGTCGAGAACGATGGAGATCGAGTGATTTCGGCAAAGGACCGACAAGTAGTTTTAGATGTTTTGTATGAGTCAGTGAAATCGATTGGTGCGTCAATTGTTAGTGCTTCGGAAAGTGTTTCCCCGATTTTCCTCGTCAAAGGATTACGCGTGGTGGCCGGATCCTTCCGTTTCGCGAGACGTGAGTATCCTATCACGCCATTTTGTCTCATCGAAATAAGTGTGTGTAGGGATTAATTGAATAGGTCTTCTTTTCAGAAAGAACATAAGAAAGTTGAATCAATCAAAAGAATTTTATTCTAAAAGTGATAACGAAAGATTTTTATCTTTATGTCACTTTTTTATATTTACCTTCTGTTCACAGTAAAAAAACATTTTATGTTTGTGCTAGAAACGGTCCACTCAAATCTCTGTTAAAATTTTATGTTGAATTTTTAACATATCTGAGAGTAAATTGACATAATGTGATTGTGTGTAAAGTGATTTGAATATTTCTTAATGTTAAAACAACATAATTTATAAATAAATGAATAAATAACTATATATTTTATAATATAAATGTCGCAAATTCTAAAATAAATGAATAAAATGTGTAAATTTTTTTTTAGCATATTATAAATATTAAATTTATTGGAATATGTTAATTTAATGTATTATAAATATTAATTTTAATGAGGAACATAATTGTTTGAAAATTGTATTACATTTTTTGTGTTAATTTTTACATATTTGTTACTTCCTAACATATTTGTGTTGTATTAACATAAAAATTTAAGTGGATTATTTAAGGCAGATGAAGTGTGTTAAATTTAATGTATTAAATTTTCAACTATATAATGAAAAAAATTCTATACAGAAAATTTGTGTTAAATTTCACGTGTCTCAAATAGTACATTGAAATTTTTATGTTAATTTTTACACTGGATGAATATATTTACATTATGTAAAAACAAAAAATGTAATACGTTTGTATAACGCTTTGACACAATTTGGAAATAAATTGTGAAAACGTATTTCTTTATAATAATATTAACATATAATATTATATATTAAATTAACAATAACATAATTACATTATGTTAAATTAACACTTGGAGTTGTTTAAAAAAATTTAACCTAAAAGTTTTTATAACCGATTTTAACACAAGTACGAAATATTTTAGTTGATATATTTGAGTAAACGAAACAAACAGCAAGAACAATAATAAAATGAGATAGTTATAGAATGTTTTTCTATGACTGAATTAATTATATATTTTTATTACAGAAATATAATAATTTGTTTAAATAATAAAATAATTAATATTTTGAATTATTAATGTTACGTATCATAAATTACTTTGAATAAAATTAAAGAACAAATAAAAAAATTGCGATAAAATAATCATTTTACAATCAAATTAATTTTAAGAATTTCATAATAATAAAATCATGTATTATGAATAATTTAAATTCTTTTTGTAATTGTAACGTTATTTACAAAGAGATTTCTCTAAAATATTTTTATAAAAACAATATTGTTTTTACACACGAGTCAATGTATTAATATAATAACTTAATAAATAATGTTTTTTAGCATAAATGATGTTTTACTTATAATAGTAATTTTTTTATTTAGAAAAATAAAATTTTTTAACCTGTATTTTTTAAATATTGTATTTTCAACGTTGCTGAATAAAGGAAATTCACTCAAATTTGCTAAAAAAAAAATAAATATTTAACATAACAATTATAGATTTAATTTTCTTTAAAAAAATGTTTCGTACAATTCTTTATATATATTATATTATGTCACTTTAATAGTGTAAGTATTATACATATATTCGTCACTATAAAGTTTGAAGAATAACATTTAAAAAATAACAATTAAAGGAATCACGAGTTTCAATAAAAAGCATTGAAACGGCACTCCATTATGAAACAAGCAGCAGTACAAATTTTAGAATTTTTCCTTAAGAAGAGAAACGGAGGCTGGGGGCGTGGCGAAGGTGAAAGAGCAGGGCCGAAACAGGGTCAGGAATCAGTACGGTGGCAACCTGCAGCCCCCATCTCACCCCCATATACTGGTATATAAAGCCTGAGGAAAGCGCTAACCTACATGCTCATTCGTACGGCAAATCATATTCAGTTCGCAAAATGAAAACCACCCGCGATGCACACGTCATCACATCTGTTTCTGTCTCCGACTTGCCTCCTTTCTAGCGACTGGCATGATGGTGAGAATCTTCTTTTAGAATAGGTAAATCCTTGAAGGCTTGATTTTAAGGAAAATCTCCTTTCTCTGGAATGTTCCCGTATATACACAATATACACACACTTAGGAACTTCAATATATTAAAATTTTATTATAGATATAGTAAATTTTTAAAATGTTTTTCGTTTTATTTAATTATATTATATTTAATTATATTATATTAGGTGTTGGAATTAATTCGTAGCGTTTTTAATGAAAGAATGTTATTTATTTCACATGTACATGCATAAATTGACAGGTGCAATTAAAATTAAAATTTTGCAAGCATAATATATTACATATTTATAATATATATTATAATATTATTGTAATATGTAATATATCATAACATATACATTACATATTATTATACATAATAATATTAATATATTATATATCTTTGTATACTTTACATTATCAGTTATACTATTGTTTTATTATTTTTTTTTTATTTTTAGAAATTGTGCTGTTATTTTCTTTGTCTTTCTTGAACCTTGGAGATGAGAAAACGGGAATTCCTAAAAATCGTTATCGCATCACTTTTGCTAAAAGTTCCTTAATTAAATAAAATAAAAACTAATTAAATTTTTTGTTAAAAGACGGGAAATACTCTTTGTTTCTTATATTATTTATATTATTAAATATCAGAAAATATATTAAGCAGCAAAAACATATGAAGTATATTAATATCAGGATGGAAAGTAAAAAATAGCAATCTGTATTATATCTATAAATATATAGTAGTTTCTTTTATTTATATGTTGTATGTTTTTACTGATGTTAATAATGTTTCATAAGTAAAATTTCACTGAAGTTAATAATACAGATGAACTTTATCTTGTGAAAGAACGAAAAAATTGATGAGTCGTACATGTCATGAAGTCTCTTTGTGAATCTGAACGCGTAAAATGACATTACTACATATATCTAATTATGCTTTGAATTTTTTTTGTCTACTATTTAGATAGTTGACAAAAATCTGTGCAGCTAGAAAATTTGATGTAAATGTAAGAGATACTTAATTAGAGAAAAGAAAATAGTTACAATAAAAAAGAGAGGAAAATCTTAGTTAAACATTCACAGAATAAATTAAGATTCATTACAAGAGCCTTGTGAATAATATTTTTCTCAAAGTAACGATCTCTTATCCGAAATTAATTATTGAATAATTCCCATCGATCTCATTAATATTTGTTTGTCATTTAGATATTTATTTTATTAATTGTTATTAATCATCGAATCAGTAATATAACACGATGTTCATGGAGAGTACATAAATTTGTTATTAGAAACAGATTTGTATGTTTTATCATGAATAACAGTAGTTATTGTTCGGGAAACGTCGCTGATGCGAAAATCAATCTAGATAGAACGGAAATGAACCGGATGAATACTAAGAATTTAGAATACTTTTTCCGAAGGAATTATAAGATATTATAAGATATGTAAGATATATATAATAGACATATGTATAAGATATACAGGGTGTATCTGAAATAATGCCCACTAATCATACAGTGCTATTTTTAATAAAAAACTGAGTCGAAAAGTCCTCTAAGTCATTTTGCAATTTTGATAATAGATGAGATATTAATTTCTAAAGATTGCCGAATAAATGGATAAAATCGATGTAAAGATAATTTTAAGATATCTTTCAGTGTTCCTTGTGAAATATTTTGAAGATATTTTTTAAAGAACTCTCTTAAAGATATCTTAAAGTTGTATTATACGTTGATTTTAGACGTACATTTTGCTCACATTAGATAACTAAAAAAAAGTATATTGCGAAAATTACAAAATGGTAGAGGACTTTTCGATTCAATTATTCCTTTTAGGAATATTCCTTTAATAGGAATAGCACTATATGATTAGTGGGCGTTATTTTAGATACACCCTGTATATGTATATGTATATATATATGCATATATGTATCACATTGCAACCGCACTCACGAGCGTGGTGGAACTTCGTCGTGCGTTCGCGATTAATATTCTTTAAAGGTTTTCGCAAATAATACTTATTCGATATTCGAAATTAACGCGACAGAAAATTTTCAGACATTTATACTGTTTGCAATATTGTAATTGGGCGCCAGCCACGAATGATCTCGAGCGTGCCATTCTTTCGCGGAATTAACAAAGATTTTACTCAAAATATAAAGATCTCTAAAGAATTGCGAACGGTTGCGCCGGTTTTCATAACCGACTGCTCAGCTACAGTATGGGAACAAAGAATGTTTTGAGCAGAGGATATCCAGAATTTGTAACAAAGAATAATAACAAAGATGTATTCTCTTAACTATGCTCTCAACAATGCTCCGTTTACGTTGGCTAACAATTTAACGCGATACATATTTCGGGGGCACGCAAGCAGGTTCGTGATAAATCTTATCGTGCTCTGATTGGTCGCGAGCCATCTCGCGAGTTTCGCGAATCGCGATAGCGCCGAGTATCTTTGCACGCGGAATGTGACTGACATCATCAAGCGACAATACGACTGACTTTTTGGGCTCATAAAATTTCCATCTGAATTTTTCTTGCAGGAATGTCTTCGGAATATGGTAGGTTCTTTTTCAGACAATCTCTGCTTCCGATTTCGACGTGACTTCTCGGCAGAGGTTCCCTCACAATATTGATAATGGGGTCTCTTGCCTGGACTTTGGTGCAAAATGGTCATTCCTTATCGCTGCTTCAGTCGTTCTCTTTAGCCTTTTCTTATCGTTATCAGTAACGAATTTATCGACAGAATAACAAACTCATAAGTAAGGTATTGTTTGAAAAAATTCAAAACAGTAATATCATCTGAGTGCTATCCCTCCTCTGAATGGTTTCGCGCCTCCCATATCTTTTACATATCTTCTTCCTTGCCGCCAGTTGAGATGATGAGACGCTTTGTACAATGAATCACACACAGGAATCGATTATCCTAAGTAAATTCGCAGTAATAAT